AACAAAAGTAACACCAAAAACATAGTCAATGCAGTAAGGTACAACAATACATTTTAAAACCCCACTCAGGCAGCCAGTCACTGAGGAAAGGTTTGCCTGAAGATAAGGATTTTTGTCTGCTTGCGGAAGGACAGCAAACTGTGGGAGGGAGTTCCAAAGTCTGGGAGCAGCAACAAAGAATGTCCCCCCCTGTGTCCCCATCAGTCGCACCTGTGAAAGAGGTGGGACTAAGAGAAACGCCTCCACTGAACAGATAAGATGAAAAGTAGGCAAGCTTTTGGGTCAACAGGAATTTCATTCAGGCTGCATGCTACACAGTTGGAAATGCTAAAAAAAACAAAAACCCAAAAAGCACCCTAACCAGATGTTGCCTCATCTGGATAAGAATTACCGGGACATCCTAAAAAGAAGCCTGCAAATTACGTGTGGCAGCAAAGTCATGAATATAAAATTACTGAGGGATCACTGGACAAATGATACTATGATATCCCATTTGTCTAGTAAACTATTTAAGCTGGAATAGAAGTTCATATTATTATCATGGCCAGTACAAACATCCAATGCTGTTGAGCACCTGCCTAAGTCCACGTCCCTATTCTATTTCCCCTTCTCACTGTCAGCACCCTTCTGATGTTGGAAGTCAAGTAACTACCATTTAGAAAACTAGATTGCATATTACAGGAGTTGTCCTTCCACTTAAAATTAGCCTAAACATTTCCTATCTCTGCTGGATTTGATTACATAATCTTTATTTCTACAATGATACACAGTGAATCCAACAAACCTCCACTGATAGATGGTGATTCCAACAAATGTACCATTAAGAGGCAAATTCATGTTGGTAGCTTCGGTAACACTCGTCCTCTGTCGTCCCCTTCAAAGTACAGTGGAGTCTTGACTTAAGTACGGCTCCACTTACGTACTTTTCAACGTACGTACTTCTCCGGCCGCAAAGTTTCCCTTAGACTTGCGGCCGGAGAATCAACCTACGGACCGGAAGGGGGAGGCGAGGAAAGAGCCCAATCCA